CTTCGATCGTCTCAGACGCACATAGAAGGCCGTCTCGCAGTCGGCAGGGATGTGCGATGTGCCCGACGGACGCCGTCTTCGTCTTGGGGTCGTGCAGGTAGACGTCCTGGACACTGGCCCCACCGTGAGCCAGACAGAGGAGCAGCCCCCCCCCCCTCCACCCCGCGCGCACGCTGCTGGCCGGGGGGTCGAGGGAAGTCCGCGCCCGTGCCGAGTCCTGGCCAGCTGTGCAGCGCAGTGCGCACTTACCTGGTGGTGGGCGGGACGGGCATACCTATCGGTACCAAAGGAGCTCCTCCGCGTGCACTTTACAAGGCCCTACCTACAGAGCCACGGCCCAGGCCCAGGCCCCGCGTGGCCAGGCCCGGCCGGTTTGGTTTGTTCCCGACGCCCCCGTCCCCGTGGTCAGTGACGGGCTTGATCAGAGCGCCGCGCACCGGACGCGGACGCAGCGTCTGCTGAGCCTCGGTCTGAGCTCGCCGCCGTCACCAAGATGCCGCCACCAAGCCGTTGGTGCTCAGCCTTGCACTTGCCAGGCTCTTTGGCTGGAATGCGGAAGGGCCCGCGGGACACGGCAGCAGATCAATCAAAACGTGCATTCCGAACTTCCCTGCGCCTGCTAGGCTTTGGGTAGGCCAACCCGCCATGCAGCCATGTGGTGTTGGCAGCCTAAGTGAGGGGGGTTTAAATGCGCTTGGGTTTTTTACGTCACCGATTATAACGCTTTTTGCTTGTTACAAGTACCGTTACTTTTCGAAACATTCTACTTTGGCACTTTAGTATTTTGTTACATACTGTAACATTCCAATGTAACTTTAAAATGTACCGTAACTTTTTTGGATAGGTATAGTGTAACGTTACACATGTAACGTATTGTACCTTGGGTAACATAGTCTGGGATACTTTTTCGAAATGTTACGAAAATGGAACCGTACAAAATGGAACTAGTCGGTCGGTTACAGTTCCACGTAACGGAACTTGCAAAGACTAAATTTTGTTATTTGTTCTGTATTGTAACTGATACCTCGGAAAAAGTAACTTCGATTTTGTTATGTTACCGGTCCCTGTAAACGGCACCGGTCTGAGACGGCGTAACCTTCCACCCGCTGTCGTCTGTTTTCCAAACCTTATACCGACGTCCAGAAAACACCGACTTTCTGACTATTGAATACCGGTCGACGGACAGCAGTCGTTTGGGCGTGCACGAAACCGGCCCACGGGAGTGGCGTGTTCAGTCATTGGCAAACGGCGTCGTATGA